TTATATTATTATTATTATTATTAGAATAGGGCACACAATCCTTGATATAGTTAATAATTTTTAATTTCTATGCATGACTAAGCATTCATGTATATCATCTCTTGGAAATTCCCTGATATATTGCATATGTAATTTCTACAATCTTGGCTACACTTTTTGGGTATAGTTTGTGAAAATTTAACCGGACAAAATAGTGAAACCACAGGCTGAGTTCACGATTACATGCTCACATTATTGATCATTTTTTAGGTGTCTGATTCAAGAAAAACAAATCCTCTTTTTGCTTTATGGTTGATTATTGCAACCAAGAGCTCTGCTTTTAGGCTTGCCTACATGTAAATCTATATTAATATTATGCATGATTAAGCATGATATGGAAGTCTGTGCCTTATAAATGATATAGTTAATATTTAAAAAGAGAAAACTGGGCCTTATACATGCAGTTAAACCAGGGATGTCAATAATATCTACTACAGCTGAGTATGTTTGATGGGCCCGATTTGTTACGGGTGTACTGGACTATACTGTACATGTAGCTGTTAACAAGTTTATTATGGGTGTGAAGATCATGGCTACAGTTAACACAAAACTTAATAACATCCCTGTAAATCATAGTAGGTCGTGGCTATCAGCAAATTTTTAAGCCTTGGAAAAGCTGCCTTGAAAATAATAACTCATTCAAATAAGAAATAACAGCGGTTTGCATGATTCAGGTCTGATTGAATCAGATACAAAATGTAATTTCCAGAACATGAATGGTAGCTGCATTGGCTTTTTCACTAAACATTATTTTTGTATTACTCTATATGGTTAACACTTACCTTCATGAGTGGTGTTCGACCATAGTTGTCACAGAGATTAGTCTTAGCATTGTTTGCCAGGAGGAATTTTACAATGTCCTCCTTACCTTGAGCACAGGCAAGGTGAAGAGCCGTTCTAAAAAAAAAATCAAACTTCAAATGTGAACCATGTTTACAATATTGTACACTGGAAAAGGTTATCACAGGAGGAGGGAAGCCATACATGTACATGTATAACTACTTAAAGAGAGCAAGGTTTGCTTTGGACTTTGGAAATGTAACCTGTACAAGGGTGATGATAAAAAAAAATACTATTTTGCAGCCCTTTTGGGAACTGTAAAATGCAAAAGTGACAATGAAAAAGATTCTTATTACAGTCAAATCAGATATTATTCGTTTAATGGGAACTCTGAAATGTTATGGGTGAATGTTCCAATATTGATTGATGGTTTGCTGGAAGCAATTCCCTACAAGCAGTTGGTTTCTCCTATGCCAAATGCAACTGCTCAAAGGGTATGGAAGCATAAACTTACAACTTGACGGGTAGGCAAAGCAGTCAGAAATTACAGTGTTTGTATGGGAATCCAATGGTAAATAACTTTTTCCAAAATTAAATTTTGCACAATTTGTGGATCAAAACGTTAAAATACTCAGTAGGAGATTGCATTCACCAAGTTTGAAAGATGTAGCTCAGCTAGAAGATGCTCAGTTATTTTTTTTAAATTTTCCATAAATTTGTCCGTAACTTTTTTTCTGTGAACAGCGTCTAGACGTCCATCTACCCAGCCAAATTTACAGACAAAAAAATGTATAGAAAATTAGAACAATTAAGGGCCTGTTCACATGGAGGTGGGGGACCTCATGCAGGCGAGGTCCCCAGCCTTGCTAGATAACCAATCTATCCATACTCTCTCTTTTTTTCTTGATCACGTTTGCATGTTACATGTAGGTGGGGTACCCCACCAAGGCGGGTTACCCGGTCAGCTGGTCCCAATTCTCAATGTGAAAGCTGCAGAGTGGGGTAGCCCACCTAACCGGGATAATCAGATCACTGCGCCAAAGCCTGCCAAAACACACGGCAGAACATCATGGCTACCAGCTGCTTCTAGCGTAGCGGGTTATTTTGACGATTTCACCTCCAAAACCGCCAAAATGCTGATGAAATTGACATTGCTGGCCACAATTTAAGCATTGATAGTCAACCAGATAGTCAGGCTAATCAGTGGAATCAAACTGAAGTTTTGCCTGCAACAACGACATTGAAGCACAAAGCAGCTTCATCGAAACAAACAAAGGAAACAAACATCAGTTCTTTGTTTATGTACGTACTTAGTGACAGCAAAATTGCGTTTAGGACCTCACCTTATGTCCCCAGAGTTGTATGTGAAGACAAGTATTTCTTTACCACAGGTAGGTGAGGTACTTCACCTCCCCGGGGTCCCCCACTACCATAATATGAACAGGCCCTAACTAAGCATCTTCTGGCCAAGCTACCTGGCGAGTACAATCTTCTAACTAGTATTTTAACGTTGCGATTCTCAAATGGTGTAAAATTCAATTTTGGAAAAAAGTTTTTTGCCATCGGATTCCAATACAAACACTCTAATTTCTAACGGCTTTGCCTACCCAGGTAATGCACATAACTGTGCAGTAAATCATTACTGATAACCAATCACATCAGAGAATTTCAATACAGAGTGTTTTCATTTCTGACAATTAGCATTTAACCAAACGTTTGATAGCATTTAGGCGTAAAAAAAATTGTTTATACAGAAAAACAATATCACAAAATTTAATCTTATTTGAACAGCACGCAGGCACAATATTTTACCACCATCTGCGAATTGGCGATCGCTGAATGTCTAGATTAATCGCCTACATGGTTTTTATAAAATCAAATGAGAATAACCGATGACGACCGCCAAAAGTATTCCAATTATTTAGCTAATAAAACGAATTGAAGATTAAGTTCTAAGTCATTAAGTTTTGAATCATTCTCTGTATATAAAAATTTAAGCCTACTAAAGGAAATACAGATTTGCTTATTTTGTAGCCTGGTGCATTGAAAAATGAAGTAGTACTCAAACCAGGTAGATACAAGAAGCGTTTAGCGTAGAGGTACATACTATAAGCCTTAGGAGCTTAGTGTGGGTTGAGAATTCAAGGACGCTTCAAGAGTTACCAAAGAAACGCGTATGATCGCGATGGCAGTAAATTTCTGATCCCAGACAAAACTATCTTGCCCGTTACCTGTTTTCCCTGTCGAGCTGGTTGATGTCTCCCTTCTTGACTAGTTGCTTCAATTTTGATAGATCCCCGCTCAAAACGGCTTTATGAAGCTTCGGTAAATCCTTGTCCTTGGAGATGGAGTAACCAGATGCGATGCTTGCGGCATCGCTAAGGTCTTCGGTGGACAGAGTGTTCTTTGCACTTGGGCTCTTCTTCTTGAAAAACTTTTTAAGGCCGGACATGGCGATTGGAGTTACGTTAATCCATCATGTAAAGTATCTTTTCACGTTTACAAGAGACACATTTTGAAGTTTACTCACGTCCAACTTCGGATCGGCAGTTGAATTGCACTTCAGCAACTTGAGCCGATAGTAAACTCGGTACCAGGTCACTCTTAATAAACCCAAAATACTCTTCCCATGATTCCGTTCGGCTTGAGATAACCAAGAAACCCAACGTAACAAACACCACGCCAAGCCAAGCCAATAACTCGACATGACGAAATTTTGCCAACCTAAAAAAATTTTTTTTTTGCATTTTTATTTCTAATTAGCATCATCCTTTGGTTGAAAAATCAAGCTAGTAGCGACTTAACCCTTAGAAAGACCTTCTTCAACTACACACTTTTTTATAAGAATAAGTCGAGCTGTTGGGCGGCCAGTAATCGAAGTCCCGATGGGGGCTTTTCTATTGTTTTTACGTCTATTAATCGGCCAGCTCCCTTAAAGCGGCTACTGTCCATTTCCCTGAGGGTGGCCGTTTAATAGGGATTATTTTATCTCAGAAATTGATGTCAGTTTTTCATGCGTCTGTGCTGTTATTAATCATGAATTTCGTCAAGTACTTTGTCAAAATAGCTGTGGATCCACGAGGCGATGAAATTCATCGTCAATAACAGGATAGACGCATGAAAAACTCACGTAAATTTTTTTTTTTTTTT